ACATCCCTCCCAAGAACTCTCCTCTGTGCTGGCCGGGAAGGGAGGCCACCACAGTGCACCCCACGGCAATAAGCATCACAGCCCCGACATCCTCAAGCATAGAACAAGGCAGAGGTTTGCAGGCGATGCCGTCCGTACTGCAGCTCACTTCACCAGGAAGCACGGCCATGTCCTGCAGGGACAGACCCAGCCTCAGCCTTGCTTGCTGCCGCACTCCCACGGAACCACTGGGCCCCCATCATGCACCAGAGAAGCAGCAGTGGCCCTAGGGTGAGCACTCAAATGCCCAGGGAGATGCAGGACTGCACCACAGGACAGACAAAGCTCCTCTTGGAGGCCCCAAGCACAAACACTGGAAATCTTGAGATACACCAGCACCCACAGATGCTTCCTGAGCACCTCTGCATGTGACCACGCTGCCTCTACAGCCCCTCCAAGCAGCACAAAGGATACCCAACCTCCCCGGCAGCAATCTCCCCCTTACCAGCCAGATCCTGCCCCCCGAGCATGGGACACCCCTCTGCACACCCCACAACTAGGGCAGGTCCTGCAGGGAGGATCCAGCCCTACCACCCTCCCCGCATTTATAGCCCACAGGTGCCTCATGGCCCGGGCAGCACGAGCCCCACCTGGGGACTGTGGCGTGATGGGTGCGGCCGCACACACCGCAGCAGGAAGGGAATGGGGATGGATGGGGCATTTTCAAGGAAGAGCATGGCTTTCCTCGTCACAGGTTATAAAGCATTCCCAGGGAACATCAAGACAAAATGTGTAATTGCAAATGAGCTCTGCTGCTCTCCTGCATCTCCAGACCTACGCAAAGGCAGGGAAGTTTTAATTTCTTCCTTTTGGAGGTTCCCCCCCCCCATTTTTGTTCTTTCCCTTCTGTCCTCCTAAATTTGGTATAAAAGAAAAAGGAGTAAATAAAAATTTTGGAAAGCTCTTGCAACCCTGCTCTTCCTGGCTTATGCAGCGGTTGGGACAGAGAGGGAGGCCCAAGGCACAGGAACCACAACACTTTGGATAGCTGGATTTTCAAAACAAAAATGGGGTTAGAAATGGAAACTTTGGTTAACTGGGACAGGGATGAAAACTTCATTTCACACTTGGCAGCAAAGCCGGATCTCCATCGCCCTCTTGCTCTGGCACTCCCCCCATTTAACCTGGCGCCGCAAAGGCATTTCTGCAGCTCTGGCAGCGTGGGGGATCTTTCCATCGTTCTCTGAGCAAGCAGATGAGGCCACACCACTGCCCAAATGCTCTTGGGAGCTCACTTAGAAACACTTCCCCGAGGAAGCGCCAGCAGCGTGCTGGGGAGCGGATAGACGTCAGGTGCTCGCCTGAGTTTTTAAGCCCATTCTCCCAGCACCCGCTGTCCTGGGGGAAAACATCACCTTCCGGGTTTCTGGATTTTTAGCAATCTGAGGTAGACACAAAGAAGGGAAAAAGTCATAAAAGCAGCCATGTGGGACTATGTTCCCTCCCCAGCCCGCCCCAGCGGTGCGCAATAGCAGGCACGCAGAAGACATCAGCACAACTCAGCATCATCTTTTTATAACTTTATTTCCAGAGGTCTTGTGCAGAAAGATACAGCGTGACACCTCTCCCTGAGCCTCTGCGGGAGTTTCCTGGGGGCATTTCCGAACAATTCCTGACCCCGCGGCACCTCCTGTGCAGGGACCGCAGTGCACCGGGGTGGGGGGGGGGAGCCCCACCACCCCGGCCGGCCGGCCGGCCCCGGTAGTGCTGCTTCCCAGGCAGCATCGCGGGGTCCCGCCAGGTGAGACCCCCCCAGCCCCTGCCTGAGCCCGGCAGCAGCAGCCCCGACGTCGGAGTCCACAGGCTGAT